TCTCCCATCGATTTGAATCCCATCTTCCTCATCTCCCCCAACCTGAGGCAGATTGTCGAATGAGCCTCCCTGTCGTGACTGCGATTACAACTAGCGGAATAGTAACGGCGCGATACTTGCAAGAGAGGACTTCCAAAACTTCCAAAAATCCCTCTCATAATCTCAACACTCATAATATAAGCACGATTAGGGCTTGTCGGCGAAAAAATCACAGCATTGAGAACTTCAAAACTCTTGCTTGTGCCTCCCATGCCTTCCTTTGCCGCATACAACTGCACAAAGCCGCTCTTGGCTCTGTCAATATTATGTCGCATTCTGCCTCCTCCATTCAACGTTTCCCTATACCAAAGCCCTCTGAGCCGACTGCTTCACCTATGCTCGAGACCTAACCAAAGCCGTTGGATTTTCCCTGCACTGATATACTCTTCTGCTTCTAGCGCACAGTGGGATCTCACCATATGAATACCCTCTTCTGCTACACCTCTCTCACGACCGAGTGGCACAATCGTGGCTAAAGAAAGCGGGAAGGGCAACAATGTCATAGACCAACGAATTTCCCTGTTTCCTTGTTCTTCACCTGATCCTCATATCCTTGTCTTTCTTTTAAATAAAGCACCACCCCACAAACACTTTGCCTTTTTCCTGCACACAAGAATTGCCTGTGATCCTCTCTGCCGCAATGGATCCTCTGCTCTGCCCTAACCAACTTCGTCTCTCTTGCAAGTCATAAGAAGGAAGGCTCTACCACTACGTCGCGCCCGGGCCCCCTTTGCCTTTCTATTCGAGTCCAAGCACTAAACCCGAGTCATCCCTCCTTATTCGAGCCTCATCTAACCTGATTTCAGCCCACTTCACCTACCTAATCTGTTTTACTTTTGTTATATTGTTCTCATCGTCGTAGTCATCAATCATCATCTTCAATATCGTCGGAGCTCGAAAATGAATAACTTTGGGGCAATAGGGTTATTCTCGAAAATCTCCATTCGAGAAGAGCTTGAGTACCCGTCTGAGAAAAATAAGTATCGTTCAAGGAATAGCGAACTTGTTTGGAGAACTCTTTTCAAAATTGGGATTTTAGAATACCCTTCCTTGGGAAACACGACCCGTCTGTGGGAATTAAGTCCAATTCGAGAAAGTAAAATGCCGCTCGAGAAACTATCTGCTTGCGATTTGACATTTTTTACATGTATATTGAAGGCCGATCTTTTGAGATCGCGGATTAAATGTTATGTTTCGCTCCCCAACCGCAGTCTCATGACAGTAAACAACGAGTCTTTTGAGTCTTTCAATATTTCTAGGTTTTTAAAACATAGAACCCTAAGGCTTAAAAATATGCAGTCTCATGACAGTAAACAGCGAGTCTTTTGAGACACATGGAAAGGTTGGGTTTCTCACGTGCCCCCCCCCCCCCCCCCCCCCGCCGGGGGCGGGCGGGCGCCAGGAGGCAGTCGTAATTTCACTGATTTGGACTTCTAATAAATTTAAAATATTTGAAATTTTTAATAAAATAAAATGTAACTCATTTGAAATTTAAAATGAATTGAAAACTCGAGCTTTTAAAATTTAAGCTCTTAGGGTTTAAAATAATAGGGACCTGGGCTTTCAATATTTCTAAGTTTTTAAAACATAGAACCCTAAGGCTTAAAAATATTAAAATTTGGATTTTAAAATTTAAGCTCATAAATCTGAAAATGTTTAAAATTTAGGCTCCTACAGTTTGAAAATTCATTTAAAATTCGGTTTTCAGACTCAAGCTCCTGGTGATGAAAAATAATTCAAATATGATATCTTTTGAAACATTGAAATTCCGCTACCAGATACGCAATACACCTGCTAGCAAGCAGAAGGTTCCTTTCTAAAGCCAAAAATCATAATACTTTTGCAAAAACTTTAAACTCCAAATGATTTCAAAATTTATAAAAATTATGTGGCTATCCCTTAATTCAAATGCAATATTTTGAAATGTGAGCCCACTCTTAAGATTTAAATGAGTATCACTTGAGATACTCTTGAACTATGTATGTTTTAAGGTGTGCATATAAGCAAATCATCTACACAAATTTTCAAAATCTTGCATGCACCTCAATACAAAGTCAATACTAAATTCATGGCTTAAAATTAATGCAAGTATTAAAGCTTATAAAACTCTTTAAAATATTCAAATATGTGAATTTGAAAACCCGCAAGTGCTCCAAACAACATTTTGAATATTCAAATACAAGGTTTGAGAATGCTGCGCAGGTTAAACGAGTTGTATTATCTATAAAATTGGATCGTAAGTTTCACCCAACTAGATTCTCATCCTAACAAGGACTTCAGTTAATAACTTTAGTAATTTCAAAATAAACGTTCAAATACTAAAATAAGAATTTACAAATCTGAGTCACCTAGTTTAATCTTCCTCCTCACAATGATTGGAGTTGACGAGTCAAGAATTTTTGAAATAAATATTGATATCTTAAAATAAGAATTTCAAGTTCGAATCACCTAGTCCAATCCTGCTTATAAGGACAAGAGTCGACAGGACTCATCCCTAAAAATCTAAACTAGCAAAATTAAATGTCTCCTTCAAATATAAAATTCTAAAGTGCTTAACTCCTTAATGATGATTGGGTTGATCGAAGATTCAACCGAAAGAGTTAACTTTTTACATCAATATTTTCATAATAATCAATCAAAACGTCCAAGTTAAAAAATATCACTAAAGAATTAAAGTAAATTTCATCCACCCTCCGCAACAAGTTGTCGAGAGTGACGAATTTCTGATTTATTTCAGCTCACAAAGAGTTAATTTCATATTAAGTGTATGTTTATATTCACAATCAAAGCAATGCATGTCAGTAAGGATGTGGCATGAGTCCACTGTGCACGAGATTCTACCACAAAATAGCAACATAAACAGTGGTTATGACCAAAACCCTCTGATTGGGTGATTGCCGACAAATGGCACCATTATATTACGGTCACGATCGCAGCCCGTATACTCCCCAATGACTTTCTACCCTTTGAGTTGTGAGTAATAAGGGTATAATTGACTGGCACAAAGCCTTTTTGATAGCTAAAGTCGGCGTAAATTTGTTTCGTTAGACAAACATCCACCCAGATCTACAAAAAATCCCTTTCGACGACGCAACACATGACCTTTTTGATAGCTAAAGTCGTAAATTTGTTTCGTTAGACAAACATCCACCCATATCTACAAAAAATCCCTTTCGACGACGCAACACATGGTTGTTGATAAGGATTTTTCAATCAAGCTAGGTCGACTATCTCCTGACCAAGTAGAACAAGCGCCACAAAGACCCGGGTTGAATCATGGGATCTTGAACAAGTTTCATCACTATTTCCCCCACCATCCGCTTTAAGCTTTAAGTGATAGATTTTACAATTTAAAATATTATATGCATGTTGCTTTTGTATATGAATATTCAATTTTTAATGACTAGCCTTAATAAAAGGTATTTTCCATTATCTAGAGAGGTAATTAACCATAGAGTCTAGCGCCTATAAGAAACCTCAAATTCTAGAAAAAAAAGCCCTTGCAAAATGAGAGTAAAATCTCTGGGTAATGTCTTATCTACAATTCAATCCGCCTTCTGAAAATTTGACCATCCAAAGCTCTCTCAACAAAACAAATCAAAAATAAGCAGAGAATCTAGAGGTGTGGGAATTTTTGAAGCTCACACACACAGGTGCGAGTGTAGCGGCCTTTACACATTTTTCATTGTATTCAGTTCATACAGCGCATTGCTCCTAAGGGACGTCCTAGCATTTACAAAATGATTTAAAAAATTCATGTAGTGATTTTTGTGACAAAAAATTTAAGCTTGTTGTTGACTACCTAATAGCATTTACATAATGATTTAAAAAATTCATGTCGTGATTTTTTTGACAAAAAATTTAAGCTTGTTGTTGACTACCTAATGCAACCCTTCACTTTTGTCAAATAGGGCTTGGGAACCAGAAATAGCTCCAAATTGCATATGTAAGCTAAAACTTCACACATATTGCTGACCAAAAAATATCTATGAATAATTGCAATCTTCTTATGCTAGAGCTAACAGGAGTCAAGCATGTAAACGAAAGGTGGTCAATACTTCTCCTTCGGATATAATGAAAACTAAACAAGCTACTTCAGAAAAAAGGCTGCTTAGGCTATATCAATGCTACAACTCGCATGCACAGATATATTCAATTTTCATCGTTTGAATTATTCCAAGGTCAACTTAGCAAACAAAAAAAAAAGTAATTTATTGGAAAGGGGTTGGATTTAAAATATCTTGAATCGCAATTTAAACTTATGGTTGAAATTAAGCAAAAATATTAGAGCATCTCATCATTATTTGTGTCTACTATTGGGGTTGGCCTTATGAAATCTCATTACCCATTCACCTCTATTAAGTGTCGCATGAAGTGTTGAACCTTTTTTTGCAAACATTTTGATTGCGCAGATTCCCAAATTACCTTGGGACTACCTTTTTTTTCCCCAAATTTCTCACCTTAATTTTATCTACGGGACGAATTGATGTATCACCTAATTTTCATTATATATGGTCACACAACCTAATATTTTTTTTCACTATTTTATATTGCTCCAAACATCCCTCAAATAAAATCGTTTTCAATCTATCATTTCTAATGTTTCCACACAAACAGCTTAGGATTCATTGCTACCTAACTTACATATCAAGCATTTTCATTTATAACTGACATATATCTCAATCAGTTCTTTATTTCCCAGCACTACAACTGATACACGACAATTGGCTTGATCATAACTTTATAAATTTTATTTTTTAAGTCTCAATGATATGCTCTTCTTAGATAGTACACACGAGGCATTTTCTCATTTTAACCAGCGACCTTTAAATATGGAAATAATTTCATCATCTATACCAACATTCTTTAGCATAACTTCTCTATTTTAAAAATATTAGAGCATCAAGTATGAATATTTTCATTCATAGAGAATAAGAAAACAAGTTCAAAAGAAACTTTACTATATGCTTCCAGCAGTGCATTACAGCAGGATGCAGGAACCGGAGATGAGGGTAGCTCCCGAAGAACATGCTGCAGAGCAACATTCCAAAATGTTCAGTACTAAAAAAAAGTGGTTAAAAATGAGTTATGACTAGCAAATTTAATTTATTCTTATTCTAATTAGAGCTAAGTGACAAAATGTAGAAGTTATACTTTAACACAATCACCAATGACATGTGCATCTTCATCTGCAGTAAACTCTGTCCTCCCTGATAGGAAAACAACCATCAGATCAAAAAAGCATGTTGTGAATAACATGTAATAGCAATTGAGCCAATAAACTCATATTATCTTTAGTTAAATATATAGTGAGAGAAGTCAAAAATGTTCAACTGACCCTGCTCATATTCTTGAACTCTACACTCAACCTCCTCAACATCAGCAGACTGCCGCAAAATCCCTTCTACTTTGGTTCCTACAGATTATGTACAAAGTTGACTACTTAGCTACGAAATAACAAGATCAAATCAAGTAGTGATGGCAATAGGGAAAAAGGAAGAAAAATAGAAGAAGAGATCAATATAAAGTTAAAACATGATTTGAGTGGATAGTTACAAATAATCCAATGCATTCTTTTAGCAATCATTAAAAGTCGAATCAAAAATAAAAATACTGCACAAGGTGAACAAAGCAACATGAGCGAAAAAGATGATCGATCAGGGAGAGTTAAAATATTAAAAACAGGGACGCGTCATGATATCAAATGTTTAGTAAGTGCATGAGGAAACCACTGTGCCTGGATGTTAGAAAATCACAAAATGACTTCTTACACATAATAGATAAAACTGCCCCGCTCTATATGTTTCTCGCTTGTTGTTCTTATTAGATAACTTATTACACAAATTGTGCAAAATCTACCAGCTGATCAATTATTGCATCACTCAAAAACAATGACTAACTAAAAATAGGCATGATACTAATGCACTCAATAGCATATTTTGCAATTATAAGTTACCGTGATTCTCTAAAAATTGTAGAGCTTTTTCTAGAAAGGAAGGTCCCCCGTCTATGTCTTCTAGTGCAAGTAAAATAGGTCTCCCAACAACCAATGATTTTATTGGCCGCTTATCTCTCCCTGTTCAAATAAAAAGTAGAGAAGAAGATATTGATGTAGAAATCTGTTGGAACAGTAGCAAATAAAAATAAGTTAACATATAAACTGACAATAGCAAGATATTAAAGTTGAATTAACACATACAATGTTGAATGGATCCTTCAAACGCATCAGTATTATCATTACGAAATATTCCATTGTTCCCCATAACAAGGGCGGCATTTGGAGCTTGTGCCAGAGCTTGTTCTAAAGCAGTTTTCCAGTCAAATAAATCCTCCATTGTCTCTGCCTAGTGCCACAATAAAACATATTACGATATATTGCTGGTTCTAAAACAAAATAATGAGCTGATCTAAAATGCTAAAAGTACAACAAAGAATGATATTCAATGAGTATCTATATAAAACATAAATGTAGCGATCAGCATATCAAACACCTTAAGGGTAAATGCTCTTCCATCACGACCATCAGGAAATAAGACAGTCAACAATTTCTTGTCTTCCCTCACAACCACACTGCAAATAGGCATTCAGCAGGTATTTCATAACTTCTTTTTTCTTACAAGTGATAATGCCAAGCATAAGCATAATGTGCATACCTTCCAGAATTATTTAGGTCTATACCGCCAAGGGTGATATTAACCTCACCTACCCTCTGAGGCAAAGCACTCTGCAAGGAACCAAAAAGCAATAATAAGTACATCTGCTAAATGGCTTGAACTGAACAAGAACTTTCTCTCTTCTTTGACATCATCATTTAAGTATTAAGAACTCAAACACGAAATATTTAAAAGGTTTATGCAAGATTTATTTCCCAAGCTTTTGTAAAATACTTGCTTAGAACAAGCTATATGCTTCCTTGTATGTTATTAAAGAATTCATAGCTGAGCTACTTTTGAATTTATGACCAAATATATGAAGTGCTACAGCAAAAAATAAGAATAAAAATAACAACTTCTAAGCTATTGAAGTGGGACAACCAAGTCATACGTATCAATGAGAACAGCTCTTAAACATGCTACAAGAAACACTGTCACCACATATACAATGATCATTAATTCTATTTCCTTGCAAGTGTTCCTGCAGCAATTTTAATGGCCAACATTGCATTGGGTATCACATCAGAATGAAGCTAAACAGAGGCTACTACAATACATGATAATGAAACAAAACACCAGGCATGGAACTTAGCAGATGAAATCAAATAAACAGAGATATGGCTAGAAGAATACTGACAGGGTCACTTTTGAAGAAAACTAGAGAACTTCGTGTAAGGATAAACCATCGCTTCTTCCAAGATTTCCAACCAATTCCTGCATATGGTAAACAATGATGGTCTAAGACTAGTACTACCAAAAAAAGGCATTAACCATAGTAAATGGCTCACTTCAGTACGCAAAGAATAAACTTTCTAGTTGGAACTAAGGGTATAATAGAACAAGAAAATAGGGGTGCGAACTGTTCTAAGTTCACTGCTTAGCTGTGCTGTGCTATATAAAACAAGAGGACATAAAACTGTAAAGTGAACTTATTTATTTTTTTTAGTTTTTATAACAGAACTTGTGCTATAGCAAACAACAAGCAAGAAACTGTAAACAGAACTCATTGAAGGCATGTGGTTAAGGAAAAGGGACAAATTTATGATATTTTACCTGGGGTTGTGTGACTGCTCGGCTATAAAACAAGACAGAATTAATTCAAGTTGGCAGAAAGAGGGACCAAAGCAGTATTAAACCTACGAGACCAGTTTAAAATAGTAACATGTCGGCATGGAGTCCAATCCTAGACTAAGCATTTAAATTCTAGAGTAATGTTGCAGTAAGGATTTATGGATTTTTCGTTCTTCTGTTCCCAACTTCTGAATGGCATTTTTAGGTGAATGGGTCAAGCTATGCCTCCTTGGTTGGAGTTTGCATTGAAATTTTGGCAGGAGATCGGTTTGCACATAAAGCAGGGTTTAGTAAGTACTGATAAACCGTTTTTTTTTATATATGCTTCCATCTTGAGCTTAGAGAAGTTTTGATAAATAGCGCTTTTCTTAGGATTAATTTGTGATTTAATATGCTAGATAATGAATTGATAATAGCAAAATTTCATTGATTTCATCTAATGATTAGGGAAAATTTGAAGGTTTTACTATACAAACTTGATTGAAGTTGTTATTCCTCGGAGACAAACTCAAAAGTATGATTCAATCAAGATTGCCAAAGTACAAGATTTCAAGCATAAGTGCTAAAAGTTTAGAGGCCTACGAATCACTGCATTGCTAGGGTAGGCTTAAAAAATGTCATTTGCTATAAGAAATTATGAACACAAACTAAGGCAATTTAAACCATTTTAAATATAGGTATGCATACTCTACATCAATTAACATTTATACTTATTTAATTATAACAATCAGCCCATCTTCCCTAGGTTTCATAGCATGCATGTTTAAGCATGCTCTGACATGTACCCATGAATTGCTTGTGGGCAAAACACCAGATTGCAATTAGGTGATGCATGTCCATATCCAAAGCAATGCATGCCCATGTGCCAAGCCACATGCGACCAATGACCCGCACAGCAATGAGTAGTTGCGTTAACAAGAAGTTGGGTATTTACGCCTTCTGGGAAGCCAAGTAATGGGGACTTTTGTCCACTTCCTCCACCCTTTCCGATACAAGAGGTCCAATTTCAGATAGCAAAAGGTGCTTTATTATTATATCCATAGGAATGATTTATGTGTTCATGCTTGAGCTTTTGTTGATCCATTTGTCAAATCTCATCTCCTCTTAATCCAAGTTTTTTAAGTTGTAATTTTCCAGCAATCTTTTAGAGGATTTAGTGTTTCCTTTTATGTTGCACTAAAGCCTTGTACTCAACAAAATCTAGGAAGGATTTGGAATGACGCCCCTACTAAAAACAAGGAATGGATTATCATAGCCTTAAGAATAAAAAAGAACAGTTCTACTTGCTGAGTGTAGGAAAGTAAGGATCATACTAGGTTTTCTGCTAATATTGGCAAAGGACATAGGATGAATTTCCAAGGGAGATGAGATTTAGGCAGTTGGTTTCAAACCATATAAAAATCATAACTTGCATGGTCACTACCTCTTACATGTATTTACTTTATTATATTTTGCATTCAAGTATATTGACACGATTTGGAACGATTTTCCACATAAATTAGGGCAAACATATTTTATTGTAGAAACATCAAACATTCAACACGAATACAAAGATAAACACCTACAATTCGACATCTCCTAAACCCTAAACCTAGGAAAAAATTTGCGTACATAAGACGTACGCAGAGCTGCGTACGTCTGTAACCTGCAAACAGGTTACAGGGGTATAACGCGGTTATAACCTTCTAAAATCCTCCCTATAACCTGTTTGCAGGTTACATACGTACGCAGCTCTGCGTACGTCTTATGTACGCAAATTTTTTCCTTAAACCTAAGACTCCAAACACAATTTCATGCATCCCCCTAACACAAGACAAAAGACAAAATTGCCCTTAGATGCACAAAAGACAAAATTGCCCTTAAACTATGCAACGTCGTAACAATACTCCCCTTCCAAAAGACACATTATCCTCAAGGTGGGGTTTTCCACCACCAAAGTCGTCTCTGTTTATTCACCATCCACCTCCTTATCACACACTATGAAAATATATAATGTTTGATCCTTTAAATGATGTCCTTGAAAGGTTTGTATGTGGGCCAAGAGGGCAAGCAAAATTACGCCCCTTGAGCATTACAAGTACGGACTCTATCAAACACTAAAAAAGAAAAAAGAGCATGTGACTCATGCACATGAGAAAGTAAAAAAGCTATGATTCAAGGCTCACTACGCACAAAAATGAGTAGCCTTATTACAAGAATGAGGGACAAAATGAAACTAAACAGGTGGAAACTCCAAGACATGAAAAAGTAAAAAAGCTACGATTCAAGGCTCACTACGCACAAAAATGAGTAGACTTATTACAAGAATAAGGGACAAAATGAAACTAAACAGGTGGAAACTCCAAAAAGAAAGCTATGTTAGGGCTATAAGGTGGATGTTAGTTCCATCCATGATGATCCATACTAAATCTAAGGAAATTAATGTTGTTTTTATTATCTCCTTCAATAATGAGGCCTCGAACTTCAAACATCCAAGGTTGAACTAAGCTTTTTATAGAAAGTGCCGCCTCAAGCTTCGCCACAGTACCATCCAAGTGTTTCCATTTCTTCCTAACGCCGCTAAGTAGCGACCCATATCATCTCGGACGACCCCACCAATTCCCTCCACATATGAAGAAAGAAATGACTTGTCAATGTTCACCTTGAAACGATGTCCTGTGGCAAATTTCTCATCAAACCAAAAATATAATCTCTTGGCTTGCTTCTCCTACATCTCTGGCTTTGTAAGCTGCTTGAGAGTTGCTCCAAGACATGACACGTGATTCTTGTCCTAAAAGCCTCTCTCTGAACTTCAATTATTTAAGCTTTTAATATTATCATGGTCGTAGTTTCTTCAGTAAGGCGCTCCACCTATGTTGCTCATATTAGTTTGTTCCAGTACATGCTGATTTTCAACCAAGTATGATCATTTCATAATTAATTTCTTCCAAGCCTTGTAGTATTAGCGGTCGAAGTGTTGCACGTATGTTGAGCTTAGACCCTTCATGATGCTTCCCTCCAATATTATTTTAGAAATTCCACCCAGACATCCAGACAAGAGCTCGAATCTCTCCTTATACTCCAAGACAGTCAATTCTTGAGTCAATGAAATGAATTATTCGTGCAAGTCTTCTTCCTGAATGGCTCGAAAACGTTCCAACAAGCAATCATTAAATTCCTCTCACAAGCGAATCGGGTATCTAGCCTCCCTCCACTATAAATATAATAAGCTTTCCCCTCCAAACATAACCCTGTCGTCATGAGCTTCACCTCTTCATTTAGCTCATTCACCGTAAAATATCGCTTCACCTGGTACACACACTCATGTGCATCTTCCCCCTCGAAGATCGGCATTTTCAACTTCCTAACCCTAACATCTCTTGCCCCAACTTCTTCTACTCCGTTGTTTTTGATATCAGAGGATAAAGTCCAAACCACAAAAGAAACACCAATATTATTATTAAATTTGAAATCGAATACGAACTCTCTTCAAAATATGAAATAAACAACAAACAACCACAAAGACAAAACCAAGGTTAACCCAGTGGATTCAGAGGCTTGGAACTATAAGTGCGAATGTGGGAGGGGCGGTAGGGATTGGAAGGTGAAGTAGAGGACGGAGGCAGCAGGTTAAGGTAGCGAGAAGGTTTGTTGGGCGACTGGGAGGTAGGTTGGAAGGTGGGGTAGCAAGCTGGGAAGGAGGGGCAGCAGCGGGAAAGGCTCTTCAGCACTTTCGGAGAATGGACAGCAAGCGGGGAAGCGCTGGCAACGATGGGAAAGGCCTGCATAGTAAGTTAGACTGTTGAAAATGGGTTGGCTCAGTGCTAGGAGGAGTTCTGGGCAGGTGGACAGCAAGATTGGGTTGTTCAAGAAGGGCGGTTGAGTGTTGGGATGGAGTATAGGGAGTTGTGGCCTTGCTGGAAGAAGGCTGGCAGCAGGTTGGAGAGAGTACAGCAACCGTCGATTATTTGGGGAAGAGGTGCGATGGCCTGTTTTATGGCAGAGACGTGAGTGAACAGCAACAGGAAGGGTGGAAGAATAGATAAATATCTCGTCAGAATCAAGCTGCAGTCGGAGCACCAGCCGGACCCGTGAAGACGATCACCACCTCAGACAAGGGACAGCCGTAGCACCACCTTGACGTCGGATACAGCCCTCGAAGGAGAAAATACCAAGGCTAAAACCTAATTTTAGATATAAAAAACAAAACTTCTAACTCTAAGTACGTCACCTTCTACTTATAAAGAAGCTTGACCAATTTTAGCAAAGATGTCATATTTTGGAAAAGCTTTCAAAATAAGAAAGGAGAATAAAAAGGATTTTAGATTTTTGAAAGACTTTTAAAATAAGTTTGGAGAATAAAAAAAACTTCAAATTTTACGAAAGGCTTTTAAAATAAATAAGAAGAATAAAAAGAGATTTAAAATTTTAGGAAAGGGTTTCAAAATAAGGAAGGACAATAAAATTAGAATTTCATGTTTCAACAAAGGATTTAAAATAAGAACGTACTTTGGAAGGAAAGGTGACGGGGAGAGAAAGAAAAGGAGAGGAAGGAAAGGGGAGGAAGGAGAAGAAAGTGGGAGAAAGGAGGAAAGGAAGGAAAAAAGGGAGGGAGCGGCGGCCCCCTTTCCCATGAGGACCGGCCGGTCCTCCCCCGAGCCCAG